GTGGGTGACCGGGATTAGGATCGCTAAGGTAATATCTGAAGAACACATATATTAATTTAAGATTTAGATGTTTTACCACAATGATTCGTCCCTTTTTTTCAGTACGGTGCATCCCTGTACGAGAACTTCAAAACAGCAGAGAGGAAGGCTGCTGTTAGCTCTGCTATATGGACAAACCGCAGCACTCCATCCAGCTCTGGCCCGTCGACACCAACACCAACTATCAAAGGTAGGACGGCTCACGATCCTCTACTTTATTCATCTGTGATATTAGTTCAATCCTGTTCTGGTTCTGAAACTGATTCGCATTTTTTGTCTCCTGCAGCCAAAGCACCAACTCAAGCAAACGGCCACGCTCCAAAACCACAAGCAGGACCTCCTCATCTGGTAAACCTTCAAAATGAAACTTTAAGACTTTTCTTTTTAAATCAAACAATGTCCTCTGTTCTTCCAGATGTTCTTCATTCATTCATCCATTTTTTTTTTATTGCTTGTGGTTTTTCTTTGTTCCATTCTTCTGTCCATCCTTCCAGCCTATTATCTTTCTTTCCTGTGTTCCTTGCATCCTTACACCTTTTTTCCTTCTCTTTTCAACTTTTAACATCTAACACAGTTTTTTTTTTTTTTATATTGTGAAAATATTGTCAAGATTGGCTAAAATATCAGAAAACCCAGAAATGTTGTTTGGAAAAAAACATGAATTTAGCATTAGAAAATTTTTAAAGGCTGATATTGAGGAGCTAATTAATTAAGATTTAATAAGAGTACCCGACATTTTGACAATCTTTGATTACAGAAAACATACATGGGGGGGGGGTATGTCAGTGTTTAGGGTGCTGAAACATTCTACAGACAAAGATTTGGGTCCTTTTTTAAATTTCTGTACTGGTGTTAAGGGTCAAAATTAGATTTTTGAAGCATAACAGGCATGATGCAAATAATTGGCAAAGGACTCACTCCTGCTGCAGTCGACATGGGAGGATGGAACGAGCGCTTTTCCAATAAGCTGCAGGTGCAGAGTACTCAACAGAGCCTCCAGTATTTGCAGCTTAAATTAGGCTTCCAGTACTAAATTACCCACATTGAGGTTGAAGTGCATCCCAGTGACTGTTCCCAGAATTACACAAAATGTCCTTCTATTATTGACAGTATGTCCCCACTACTGCTTATATTCTTTGTTCATTTTGTTGTGTTTTTCAGGACACTGATAATCTCCCACCTCCACCTCCACCACTGAACGAGATCCTCCCTCCACCTCCCCCTGACCCTGTCCTTCCTCCTCCTCCACCGTCGCTGACCTCCAAGCCCTCGCCACATCAGCAGAGGTCCAACAACTTCCCTCCACCCCCTCCTTCCATGGACAGCCTCCCTCCTCCTCCTCCGCCTCCACCCATGGACAACTCTGAGGATCCTCCAGACTTCCTTCCTCCACCTCCTCCTCCTACCAGCTACAGTTCAATGCCGCCTCCTCCTCCTCCTTCACATCCAGCTAGTTTTGGTGGAAATGCTACCCGATCCCTTCCTCATCCATCCCCGGAACCAGAATTTCTACCACCGCCTCCACCTGACCCGGTGGTTTTAGCACCAGGAGCTCCTCCACCACCTCCACCTCCTCCTCCTCCTCCAGTTGCGACTCCACGAGCTGCTGCACAGCCCAGAAAAATGCCTCCAGCTCCTCCAAAGAGAACTACACCAACGCTGACAGGTGGAGGCGGTGGAGGAGGAGGCGGTGGGGACTTCATGTCAGAACTGATGTCAGCTATGAAGAAGCGTACTGATAATTAGCTTCAGCAGAAAACGGGGAAATAAAATCCTTTATTCCATATAACCGTCTCTGGAGAGAATCATCCATTCACTGTACTTTTCCTGAACATTATCTTAATAATCATTTGAAGTAAATCTATAAAGGCTCCCTGTGTGTTTTAATAGAGACCAGTGTAATCTTAAAGCTGTAACACGCTTTACAGACACTCTTATGTAAAGACATGTATATAAGTTTGAATTACAGCACTGTAAATATTAAAGAGTGACATGAGAGGTTATATTGTTACAGTCACGGCCAAAGGCTTTGGACTCTTTGAAACAAGTGTGTTTTACAAACTTTGCAATGTTTGTTTTGGTGTTGACAGTTCCCTGCTTTTACATTTGCAAAGGGAAGAAATGCATCCAATGATTTACTGCAAAAACGTTAATAAATTAAAAATAAATTAAAAAATTGATGAAAAAAAATGTCTTCCACTGTGCTTTTTCATAACAATGAAATCCGGGTGAAGCTGTGATAGTGTCCAGATGAAATCACAGCAGTATGACTTAGTGGAGCAAAATAAATGCTTCACGTGAAAAGTTGCAAGCAGCTATCAGTTTGTGTCAAATGGCCCCACAGAACTAATTACATCAGTAAACTGGACCATAAAAAACTTTAAGGTGCATACTTGCCAACTCTTCCTATTTACTCATCAGACTCATGATTTTAATGTTATGTCCCGCCGTGCTCCCAATCAGCAATTTCTTCTGCTAATCTCGATTTTTTCAGTGAAGGAAAAGGTAAAGTAAAGTAATCCCTACCTGTCCCCCACACTTTTTACATCCATTACAACTCAGTATTTAACACACAAACTGTGTAAGCTGTGTAACATTTGCAAATTAGGCTTTTTGGGTAAATAATGATCAAGTAAAACATGCCAATATATCAATATGTTACGCAAGTTAACAATAATTTAAAAGGTTACCATCTCTGTGAAATTACTTGCTGGTGAGTTTATTCTTGAAATAACCCAACATTGTTTAATTTCTGGGAAGACTTTATGCTCACAATTGATCTCCACATATTTTAAATAAATCTTTTGGACTAACTATAGAGAGCAGGGACGCTGCCAGGAATTTGGGGCCCCATGAAAGACATTGATATTGCCCCCTCCCACAAGAAAAAAGAATTTACCCATGATATGAAGATGCACTGGATTATCATTTACATTGTCAATGTAATTTTTATTGTAAAAGTTCCAGAAAAGAAAATGATAAAAATGTGAAAAAGATAAATATACATTAACTTTAAACTTTACATTTAAATCCTATCAAAAAATAACCTTGTATTTAAAAAACAAAACAAAAAAAAACACAGCTGTATCTATGAACACATGAATAGAAAATAGGTTTAGGATTGGGAACATATATTCCTGTTAGGTTTCACTATAACTTTGTTGAAGAACACATTATTTTTTGTTGCTTATTTCTCATTATAATTGAGCCTAGGCGGAAGTTCTACTGAAGAAACTCATTGCTCTCATACATCCAACTACGACACAGCCAGCTTTGAAACACACCTCCTCGAAAGCCAATCAGTATCCAAAGCTCATCTTAAAAGGCCTCCGATCCGCAACTTGTCTGCTCCTGGTGCGAAGGCGGTGGAGGCGCTGTGACTTCATTCAGATAACCCTGTTTTAACCCACCTCCAGCCCCTCCTCCACCATCATAGCTAAAAATTCATCAGGGTTCATTCCTCCTGGACTCTTACTGCATTCTGCGTTTCATTTCAACCACTCTGGTAGAAGACCGTCATGTTGAGCCTGGTTCTGCCAACGGTTTCTTCGCATCGGGGAGTTTTTCCTCTCCACTGTCGCTCATGCCTGCTCATCATGGACAGGTTCTCTCAACCTTTGTTATCCAAACTGGACTTCCATCTTCCAGGTCCCTGAGTGAAGCTCTAGTATCAGCTCATGCAGTCCACTGGATCTCCCCATAAAGCTCAGTATACTGTCTCGCTAACCAGCAGTCTACAGACTGACCAACTCCATCTCCACTCCAACACCAGTTTCAGGCCTGCAGGGAAACAGTCCTATTCTTTACTCCTGTTCATGCATATCTATTAAAATTCAGCGCTATGTTTCCTGCTGAGGTCTGAGCACCAAAGACCAAGTATTTGTATCAATAAATTTTTCCTAATTGTCTTTTCTGTTCGTATTAGTTTTTCAGATTGAAATCTACGTGTAATGACAAAACATGTTGCCGCTTCAGGCGGCTCATGAGAATGATCAAGATTTATAGATGTCTTTTAATGGATGTATTTTAATACGTAGGTGAGGACTTTGAGACAAGTAGAGCAACAAAAAAACAGCAAGTATGAAAACCATGACACATGACACAGTTTGCAAGAGCATGAACAGGATTTTATTCTCAATACAATATTGCAAATAAATTAATTGAAAAGCACCAGTGTACAGAAGAATAATTCTCCTTGTGGAGAGTTTTAGTGATGGCTGCAATGCTGCACAATTAATCACCAGTTACAGGAATCTCTGTAATGCATATCAATTATTTTTAGTTCTCATGTGGTATTGCTTGCCCATGCCTAACACAAAAAACATCAATATTTTCTGAGAAATATAAAAATGGTTTTGATCATAGTAAACAAATACAATTAGATAAATATATCACAGTATGTATCAATCAAACAAACAGTGTTTCACATCTGGAACTGAATTGCTGAGGTAAAGTTCTTTTTTTAAGTAGCCTTCTAATGTATTTGGAGTTTGTGTTTTTCTCGATTCAACTCATGATGAACAGCTGACCTTTAACCTATTTGCCCACAAAGGAGGCCTTGCTGCATAACCTGCCTTCTCTGCAGAGACTTGTGTAACATATGGAGATGACAGGATGTGGTGCAGCAGCTCCACCTAGTGGCAAACCAGAAAATAACATCGTTAGTGCATCATTTGGGTTGTTGCATGGCTGCTTTTAGAGAAAATGTTCAGCTGCTAACCTCTGAGAAGTCATTCTCCTCAGCTTTCCTGATTGCAGACTCTGCCATCCAGTTCCTCAGCACATATCTGGGATTCACACCTGGAAGGTGTGAACATGTGACACATTCCTATTTTGCATCTGCCAAGCTTCAGCATTAATGTTTAGGGACTTACCCTTCATCCTCTGCTGACGATGAAGTTCATTTTCCCTCTGTGGCCTGCAGAGAAGCAGAAGAAGGGTTTTTTCTCGGTTTTCTGTTCATTTTTAAACCAGACACAACTTCTTACCTGCTTAGCCGCTGCAGGTACATAATGAGCCAATCAGAAAACAGCTTGTGCGATGACAGGTCTTCAAGAGCCCATGCCTAACACAAAAAAACATCAATATTTTAGAGAATACAGCTTTTAATTATAATGGATTTCACATTTGGAAAGACTTTTTTTGTGGGTTTTTAATTAAATAAGAAATTAACATTTATGTTTTGGGTTGCTAAGGGATGCGAAATTAATCAACATAGTTTTTAAAATGTGAAAAGTAAATCTGATCATCTTCCTATGTACCTGTGTGAGGTTCCTGGTGCGAAGCTGATCAAATGAAGCTTCACTAAGCTGCCTGAATGTCATAGTAAAGTCTGACCTGGTGTCCTCCATCATCTGAAGCGACATGAAACTTATCAGAGACATAAAACACACGTTTATGATGATATACTGGGTAAATGTATGAATGACATGCCTTAAGCAACAAGACAATAAGGTGTTCATCTTCCTCCTCCTCTCCAAGAAGCCCCAGTTTGGCTTTAAATAACTGGTGAATCCTGAAACGGACAAACATCATGAAATGGCCACAATATATAGAGCTACCTATAATTTCTTAAATGTTAAATGAAGGTGAATATGTTGAAAATACAGCATCTGGAAAATTTAGAAAGTGAGAAAAATCTCTAAAGCAAAATAAATTCCAAGGAAAAATAGACTAGTTTTATTAAAGAAAAACAGAAATCCTAAAAAAAAAAAAAAACATATTAGAGGAAAGAATGAAGTGAGACAAAGGGGGCAAAATAACAAAAAATCAAATCAAATAGAAATAGTCAAGTAGAAAAGGATAAACATACACAGAAAAATATAAAATTAAACAAAAAGATAAAACTAAAACAAATTAACAGTTCTAAAACAAATGCGAAAAAAATCATAATAAAACTATTGAATAAACTATCAGGAAATACAGAAATAAAGAAAATTAAATGAAGCAAACTAAATAACAATATAAAACACAAAAGATGACAAAGCGCACACATTCTTGTCTTCTTATATGTAGTGAGGACCATGTATTTAAACCCACTGACTTCCATTGATTCACAGTCAAATTTAACCTTTTCTATACCCTAACCCAGTGTCCCTAAACCAGGCGCAACAAACATCCATCCAAACGTCCTGTAAGTTTTAAATATGTCATTGATTCAACACACTTCAAATCAAATGGCTGAATTATTTCCTCAGTATGAGGCTAAGGGCTCCTTTTAAACACCTCAACTTGTAGCTCCCACCTCCTGTTTCTAGTTTCTAACCCTATCATGGGATCAATGTTAAAACTTTATCCAGCATTACGCTAAGGGTGAGGTTTGTCAAATTGGAACTAGAGACTTCAAGAAAGAACATCTAAAAAGTAAAGTTACATAAATGAAGCAAACAGGTGAATTTCTCTGTTATAAAACCCCCAAAATGACTGTATGCTTATTAAAATGTGTAATACATAAAACAGTTGGAGAAATAATGTATTATTGTTCACTTCCTGTGATGCAAAGGATTGTGGGCCAATCTATAGCTCCTAGCAGGTGGATAGGAACATCAAGAAATATCTATGCTAACTGGTGATAGGAAGCATCCTGCTTCCTTTTCCTAGTTGCTTTATTACCACCAGGTTTTCAGATAGCACTTATCATGGAGCCTGAAAAACTTCTGCTTTAGTGTCTTTTGTTAATTTGCTGTATTATGAAGGAGGTGGGCTATCCAGTGTCTTGCTAGCATATCTAACCCTAACCAAAGCACAGCTAACACTAACCAGAAAATAGCTAATCTTAACCAGAACATAGCTAATCTTAACCAGAAAATAGCTAACCTTAACCAGAGCGTAGCTAACCCTAACCAAAGCATAGTTAAACTTAACCAGAAAATAGCTAACCTTAACCAGAGCGTAGCTAACCCTAACCAAAGCATAGTTAAAC